TTCAAAAATTTAAAGTCAAGTAAAAAAAAAACCAAATCCCCCCCCCCACCTGTACGACAGTTTCAAGTGTATTTCACTTATATTGTTAATTCTTCGGGAAAAGGTTAAATTTATTACTAAATGGGGGTCAATATTTGTGTTTGAATTTCATCCAAGTTCTCCTTCTGACCTCTTACCTTGGGCCATGTCCATTGATGTAACACTCCCGAAATACTGCTTGCTGTTAAAAACAGTTTCAAACTCAAACCACTCATTGTGATTGGTTCGTCGTCGGCAATGATTTCGCCCAGCATACGCTGTGATTGGTTCGTCGTCAGCAGTGATTTCGCCCAGCATACGCTGTGATTGGTTCGTCGTCAGCAATGATTTCGCTCATAATACGTTGTGATTGGTTCGTCGTCGGCAATGATTTCGCCCAGCATACGCTGTGATTGGTTCGTCGTCAGCAGTGATTTCGCCCAGCATACGCTGTGATTGGTTCGTCGTCAGCAATGATTTCGCTCATAATACGTTGTGATTGGTTCGTCGTCAGCAGTGATTTCACTCAGCATACGTTGTGATTGGTTCGTCAGCAGTGATTTCGCCCAGCATACGTTGTTATTGGTTCGTCAGCAGTGATTTCGCCCAGCATACGTTGTGATTGGTCTATAGTTTAGAATTTATTTACCATTGTTTTACTCACTGATGAACAAAGACAACAAGTGCATCTATTTACAAATATAAATTATTTCTCTCACGCTATTGATACAATTCGAATAATAAGAAACAGGAATGTCTTGTTTCTTCGTTCTTCAAAACTTTATCAATAATAAAAAAAACAATCTTCGGTATGTTAGATCAATCCTCAAATTATCGACTTGCTTTTAACTCCGCTTACTGCCGGTAGAGTGCGTCATATTGAATAAGTTTGTGTTTTGTTTTTCCTATTACAACAGGCAGGGTAAAGAACTGAACAATCAAATGGGGGACATTTTCCATGTAAAGTACATGAGAGACCCCAGTATTTATTGAACCCGTGTTTGATGCACAGATACTCTAGAAATACGTGTTTAAAAAAGCCAATGAGGTGCGGTATTCCAGGGTTAATGCTGGATGAATCAGACAAGTTATTCCAAAAACTTCCGTAACTTTTAAAACTGAAGTACAGGACGGCTCAGATTTAGGATTATCGCAACATAGTGCTTTACTTTGTAGTTAGTATTATGGGGGGCCGTCTTACAATACTTAAAACTATAAAGACAAACTACTGCAGGTATAAAAGTTCTGAACTGGATGGAGCTCAGAGGTGACAACGACCCAGTGTTTCAGCTTTCTATTTTTGATGATGGTGGCACTTCCATGAAACACAGTAGTTACATTAGGTGTTACTGTGTTTCATGGGAGTGCCATGACTCAAGAACCCTAATGTAGCTACTGTGTTTCATGGGAGTGCCATGACTCAAGAACACACCTAATGTAGCTACTGTGTTTCATGGGAGTGCCATGACTCAAGAACACACCTAATGTAGCTACTGTGTTTCATGGGAGTGTCATGACCTAAGAACACACCTAATGTAGCTGTGGTCTTGAGTCATGGCACTTCCATGAAGCACAGCAGTTATATTAGGTGTGGTATTGAGTCATGGCACTTCCATGAAACACAGTAGCTATATTAGGTGTGTTTTTGAGTCATGGCACTTCCATGAAGCACAGCAGTTATATTAGGTGTGGTATTGAGTCATGGCACTTCCATGAAACACAGTAGCTATATTAGGTGTGGTATTGAGTCATGGCGCTTCCATGAAACCTAGCAGTTATATTAGGTGTGATATTGAGTCATGGCACTTCCATGAAACACAGTAGCTATATTAAGCGTGTTCTTGAGTCACGATACTTCCACGAGACGCAGTAGCTAGAGTTGGCGCCCTCGACTCTGTGTATCCTGTCACCACACTGGCGTTTCATCTTAAGATTGATTAGAAACGTTTGACGGTTTGCTTCAGAACCTGCCACGCTGTATCTCAGTGTATATAGTAGCTGGAATTAGAAATCAAAGGGGGATGGCTTAAAATAATTATAGATAGTTCATTTGAAACAGTTAATGCCCCCTCACCCTTTTGTTATGTCATCATGTAGATTGATCGTTTATAACCCGTGTGATTGTAACAGTTCCAAGCAAGGAAATATCATAACAGCTCCAAACAAGGCAATATTATAACAGCTCCAAACAAGGCAATATTGTAACAGTTCCAAGCAAGGCAATATTGTAACAGTTCCAAGCAAGGTAATATTATAACAGTTCCAAACAAGGCAATATTATAACAGTTCCAAACAAGGCAATATTATAACAGTTCCAAACAAGGCAATATTATAACAGTTCCAACAAGGCAATATTATAACAGTTCCAAGCAAGGCAATATTATAACAGTTCCAAGCAAGGCAATATTATAACAGTTCCAAACAAGGCAATATTATAACAGTTCCAAGCAAGGCAATATTATAACAGTTCCAAGCAAGGCAATATTATAACAGTTCCAAGCAAGGCAATATTATAACAGTTACAAGCAAGGCAATATTGTAACAGTTACAAGCAAGGCAATATTATAACAGTTCCAAGCAAGGCAATAATTAACAGAAAAACGGCGTACTTGTTTTTACGTGCATAACTATGAAAACCAATTTTAATTGGACGGGTGAAATAAAAACTCGTTTGTAACAAAACATAGAAAATTGTGTTTTTGTTTATTTTATTCCGAACATAATCAACATTAACACTGCAATAAAAAATACATAAAGGTATCAATACTCAAAATAAAGACATACTGTTTCTAAGAAGTCTAACAATAGTAGTTACAAAGTTCATTCTACTGCTGAGGAATATACAACTTTGGTAGTTTTACCGATATTAGACGGGGGATCTAACCCCCAACCCCTTCATGACCTTCCTCATGTTGCTGAGGGATATACAACTTTGATAGTTTTACCGATATTAGACGGGGGATCAAACCCCAACCCCTTCATGACCTTCCTCATGTTGCTGAGGGATATACAACTTTGATAGGTTTACCGATATTAGATGGGGGTCCAATCCTTCCTCATATCATTCTGTAACACCGTATCAAGTTTGTTGCTGATTGATCAAGAGTACAAAGTCTAGTTACACGTACCGTCACCCAGTAGTACGGTGAATCAAGGTCTAGTTATATCCACAATAACAATAGTAACATATCTCTGTGTAGACAAAGTAACAACTTAGGTCTA